ATATTTGAAGTTCATGTTTTGGCTCTTCTTCAGCTATATGCCTATGTCCCCAAATTTTGGCTTTTCTTCTGGAGATAATTAGTAGTTAAAATGATTAATCTTTCGTGAAAGTCACGCTTCAAGATTAATTTATAGTTAAAGCTATGTTGACTTAACTAATTAATTGATACAGTTCTTAATGGTGACTAATCAAGCATTTTGGGATTTAATATCGAGTCGATTTTATAATTTTTCACCCAATATCTCAATAGTTTTAATTTAAAATTAAGTTGGATGAAATTAGATTTGGTGATTCGTATATATGTATTATGTAAAATATTAAAATTTATGTATCGTATTGTATTTTATATTAAAATTATGTGTCATAATTCGTTAAGACATGAAAATATGAAATGTATTTTGATTTTGTTAAACCCACATAAAGTTTTTATTAAAATTTTAAATTATATAATTTTCATGTTTTTTATTCGTATTATGTTTATATTGTATCAACGTGACATATTTATAATTATCAAATCTAGATGAAATAAGAAAGAATTTCATTATTGAAACCGAGCTTTAAAATCGTAAAATGAAAAAGAAGTGATCAATTATTAGAAAGTAGAAACATAATTAACAAAAAATATGGGATTTAGAATCTAGAGATGGTGTTGTTGTTGGTTTTAGACTTTCCTTTGCTTCATCTATGCAAAACTCCAAGAAACAGAACATAAGAAAAAAGTGGGAGGGGGACATAATAAGGCTAATTTGATACCAGCGATTGGATTTCACATATTTTTCTGCTTGGAACCTTCCTGTTTTCCAACCATTATTTTTGTTTTGTCCAATCCTATGATGTTTTCTTCAACATCACTCCAATCCTATGATTTTTTTTTTACATTCAAAGACTAATTGCAGAGTTGTTGATTATGTGTTTTTGAATATTAAAGCTTAAATTCAGGGTTGGAAATGGAAATTAAATAAAACCTCGTTTACATCGAGGTTTCTCTTTCATTGTTTCTGGACAAGAAACGTTGAATCCTAGGAGTGGCTTTTGATTCTTTCTTTGCAATAATTCTTACCTGATATAGTTGGAGTTCTCATTAATCTTCATTAAGATCTAAATTAATAATTAAAATTAGAAAAAAATATTGGTGAAAAATGTGATGGTAATTATAATCTACTTATACAAGAATAAAGAGGAACCGAATTAGGTTCTCGATAGGCCATTTAAAAGTTGCTCAGGCCAGTTAGGTCCAAGAGTTATTAAAATTTTTATTATTTTTATTTTAAAATTAAAATTAAATAAAAAATTTCATTAATAAACAAAATTAATTTGATTTCAAAACTCATATTTAAGACTCGACCTAAATCGAATCAAGCCCATGAGTTGAACAAGTAATTCAATCCGTAAATGAGTCTAGATGTTGGTATCGATATTTAAAGTAGTGCAAACATTCAAAATTAACTCAATAATAAATTAATAAACAATGCCTTGTGTTAGGCTAATAAACTAAATTGTTTGATTTTTTTTTTCTTTTCGAGAATACTCACTAAAATATTAAAGAAAATAGAGAAAAAATGCTTAAGAGAGAATAATAAATTAAGAAAATGTGTATTCATTTTATAATATTTAGTAATATGATAATTTTAAATACGATATATGATTTAAAATTTTAATAAAAATTATATATGAATTTGATAAAAACTAAAAAAATATATTTAGTATTTAACATGTCGATACAAATAATATGATATGAACATGACACATGTGTAAATCATCAAATCTATAACTTAGCATAGTGAGACAAAGATTAGGAATCCATGCAATGTATGAATGTGAAAGATGTCGTTTCCAGTAGGACACATTATATTTATGAACTCATTCCCACTTCTTAATTCATAGTATGAGAATTAGCGTTTTTTAGATATTTGAAAAAATCTAACGAATGGGACATGGGATTTTGTGAGTGTCCCTACGTTTGCATGTGTCTCTATTTATATTTTTGAAACAAAAAGCATAGGATACCATGGAAAGAGGGGCATCATTTTTTGTGGAGGAAGCTCCAAATGCATGGAGCCAAAGGCAGTTGAATTATCTAATGCTTAAAAAAAATTTAACTATACATCTCCCCTTATACGTGTGAATTCGATCGTTTGTAACTAATGCATCCATCATATTGTAACGTAATAGCTTGATAAAGACATTGCCACATGAAATGAACTCACTTGATATGGACATACTATAAAAATATATGTGTATGCATTCGTGTCAAAACGTGTTCAATTGAAATAATTCAATTTGATTAATTTGTTAATGATAAATTAAGGCATTTTACGATTCTTAAATCTTGTGATCAATGATACAACTTGTTTGTCATATCAAATACGGCCAAAACATAAATACTATGTTTGAATTATGGTATATATGTACATATTACATAACTATAAAAAGAAAGAAAAAGAGGAGGATAAGAGCTTTTTTTTTTTTTTTTGGTAATTGCGGAGAAGAGTTTTTTATGTAAAAAAATCTCAATAATTTACTATTTTGTCTGATGCCATGTAATCAAAATTTGCAAATAAATATATTATGTGACATGGAAGAAAAAATGAGTCTAAGAGTTTCCAATGTATGAAAGATCAAAATAGATGGATCATTATGCTGTCTACATAAGAAAATTCAATAACATTCATGATTGTAACAAGTAGCTAGGGCGCAATTCATGAATTAATAACCAAGTTACCATACATTTTCACCATGGCCAGCATGCTTTTTGAAAGGAGTGACAAGTCCATCCTGTATTTCACAGTCCATTATCTTGGTAGAGTTGTCTTAGGTGTGAGAAGTGATGAAAAAGTAAATCAAGGTTTTAGAATTAATGGAATAGAGCATATAACTTTAAAGTAGAGTGGTAAACATGGTTGGTCTCCCACTCTGTCTAGTAGATTTTCACAAATAATTAGTTTGAAGTCAACAATTTCCTATAACTAATTTTCATTAAGAAGTTATAATATTTGATACACCGTTATAAATTAATTTCATAATCGATATTTATCTACAAACTGCGATTTCTTTTATCATGGCAATAATACATGAAACATACGGTTCTCGCATTTTTGGGATTGTCAACATGAAAATATAATTGTAATCAAAAAGCAAAATTCAACAATTAAAAAGTTTAATTTATATATAAGATAACTAAAACAAGTTATGACTTGAGTATACCACAGAAGTAATTAATTTATAGTAAGTTTGCCCAAGATTATATATATGAATTTACTAGTTTTAGCTGCAATCAAATTGGGATTAATGTTTCATTGATAGAGATCTCTCCACCATCAGGACTATAGCTAAAATGGTTGTACAAATTATGATTCTCCAATTGAAATGAATATATACTCCTATGCATTATTTTAACCTAGATTCCATACAATATTTATTTGATCCAAGACCACTTGAACAATGAAAAACAACCAAAATTGAAAACTGTATTGTTTCATTTTTTATTTTATTTTTTAAAATATTTATGTCCAACACATGTTCAGAAGATACAAATATTAGGAATATTAAACTCTCAAAATATATGAGAAAATATTTTATAAATAATCAAATATATTCATATCTAACATTTATCCTTGTCTAACACCACTCAATCTTAAGTAACAATATTAAAAAAAATTCAGATTGCAGTAAAAATTAAGAAATTAAAAAATATATATATATTTAATCTATCAAATTAAAATTTTAAAAATAAATAAATTATTTAATCTATCAAATTAAAATAAAATGTATTATATTCAATAATTTAAAATAAATAATTAAAAATCATATATTTGAAATAATTTTAACAAACGATTATCTATTAAATTGAAATTCAAAATTTTTACATAAAAAAAATTCTTACGAATCCGATCAATCATTTATTGTTATTATTGGTAATTAAGAAATATATATTTATTTATATACTGCTAGTACTACAGTAGATCTTTATTATATAAAGAGGAGAGTATCATCATCAACATCAGTGACTAAAACAGAGAAAAGTACGTATCACTGGCAACATGTGCACTCAATTCTTTTTGGGACGAAGGAGGAAAGGGCGCAGCAGCATCAGAAGAATCACAGTCCAAATCTGGGTCCCTCTTCCAAGACAGGTATCACGGACCGTCCTATCACCCCCCCTCTCTATCTCGGGAACCCCAACTCTCACTCTCTCTCTCTCTCTCTCTCTCAGGCCATCAGCTCAGCAGCTCTAACGCATTTTGCTTTATGCTCTCTCTTTATCTCTTCTTGTTCCCTTTCTACTTCTTCCTAAGTTTGGTCTCACTTTTAATTATGGTTTAATCATTTCATACCTGATAAAATGGCGTAAAGGCCGCACACTTTTTAACCCCAAGTCCCTCTTTTCTATTACTCAACTCACTAAGAAAAAAAAACACACACAAATTTTATTATTCAATATTTTTTTCTTGCTACTATTGCCAAGTACAAATTTTAGATAAAATTTTTAAAGAAAAATTTGTGATAGATATTTACTTAATAATAAAAATTTATCAAAATTTTTATTAAAAATATTTATTTAAAAAATATATCAAAATTTTTAAAATTTTACACATTTAATTTATATAACAAAAGCTTTTAATCTATCTATTTTAATTTTTAATTTTACTTTATATTTAATTATTTTTAATAAAATTTTTTACAACTTTATCTAAAATTTTCATTTAAATCTTTCTCCGCTGCTAATACTATTAAAATATTAAGATATTATTATACTATGTAGTTTGAGCTCAAAAAGCTACTACTACAACTACTGCAAAAGACACAAAAACCGATACATTTTCAACTGGTTACTCAATAGCAGCAAGCTTGCTGTCTTGGACACACAAACGCAAACTTCCATAATCGTGCGTTTTGTGTATGAAAGAGAATGATATAGGTATGGCCCATCTATAAATCAATGGCTGACCGACTTTGAAGATATAAGACAAAGACTATAAGAAAGAGAGAGAGACGGAGGGTTAGAACTTAGAAAATGAGATAGAGAGATATATTCTCTTTAGTCATCGTGGTTTTTGGTGTTTTCTTTTGAAATCAAACAATTTAAAAACCAGATCTCTGTAAGAAGAGTTTTAAAGGGTTTTGTTTTCTTTTGTTTTGTTTTTTTTGTTTTAAAGTTTAGTAGATAGTATATATTTGTGGGGAGAGTGTTTTAGATTTAAGCTTGAGTTGTGCTTTTCTAGTCTCTTTGGTAGAATCAGAGAGAGAGGGAGAGAAAGAGATTCACTATTTGAATATACCAAAGATCTATCTGCTTGTGTTTGGAAAAATGCTTTTTTTTTCTTTTGTTTTGTACCCTTTTTTAGCCTTTTGAAAGCTAGTTGTTTTCTTCCAACTAATTTTCAAAAACCAAAAAAAGAAAAAATTATGTCTGGTGATGGGTTTTCTGTGCCTGATTCAAGAGGAGGGTTTGTTCAAGATCAAAATAATGAAAACCCTAACCCTAAATCTTATCCGAATCCTGTTAAGAAGAAGAGAAGTCTTCCAGGAACTCCTGGTAAGCTTTCTTAACCAATTCTTCTTTTTATTTGATACCCTTTTAATAGTTTCTTTTTTTTTTTGGGATGAACAATTAATATTTAGTCATCTCCTGATTGATATTCTTTTTCTTTGTCTTGACAGATCCAGATGCTGAAGTTGTTGCGTTATCTCCCAAAACTCTTATGGCTACAAATAGATTCATATGTGAAATATGCAACAAAGGTTTCCAAAGAGACCAAAACTTACAGCTTCATCGCAGGGGTCATAATCTTCCATGGAAACTCAGGCAAAGAACCAACACAGAAGTTCGGAAGAAGGTTTATATTTGCCCTGAGAAAACCTGCGTTCACCATGATCCATCCAGGGCTCTTGGCGACCTCACTGGAATAAAGAAACATTATAGCAGAAAACATGGAGAGAAGAAGTGGAAGTGTGAGAAATGTTCAAAGAAATATGCTGTTCAATCCGACTGGAAAGCTCACTCTAAAACTTGTGGTACTAGAGAGTACAAGTGTGACTGTGGGACACTATTCTCCAGGTTTCTTGTTTTTCTCTTGTTTTCAGAAATCTCCTCTCTCTCTCTTTTTTTTTTTTTTTTACGACGTTGCATAAAGAAATGAATGCTCATATTTGAGGGTTTCATGGCTTTGGGTTTTCGAATTTAATGCAACCTAAGATTAGGTAATAAGTGTTCGTCTTTCTTAATTTTGGGGTGTTGGTTTTCTATTTGATCAATTGGAGTTCTTTTAATTCAAACAGAAAAGACAGCTTTATCACCCATAGAGCTTTTTGTGACGCCTTAGCTGAAGAGAGTGCCAGACTCACTTCCGTTGCAGCCACAAACCTAAACTTCGGAAATGATAATGTGAATCTGCCTCATGGATTTGCTGGCCCAGGAGTTCAAGATGTTGCCGGAATTCCTCAATTTGGTTCGGGTTTTGCACAAGATTTCAATGGGATGTCTGCAGCAGGTAATTGATCATTTTCCCTCAAAAAAACCAACAAAATCCTCCAGAATCCCAGATTGTTTCTTGGTATTAAGTCAGGCCTGGTTAATCTTATTGGTGTATATATATATATATTGTGACTAAGCTAATTTTGTAGTCTTTTTGTGTTATTGAATTTGACAGGTTTGCCTAAGATGGTTCGATTGGCTTCAGGCAATCTCTTTGGCTCAACTTCACTGACCAATTTCGGTAGCCAGGGTCACTTCCCTGGATTTGACAAGAGTGGTGTTACTTCAAAAAATTCCAATCTCTCCTTATCGCCATTGCCACAAGTGTTAAAAGAAGAAGATGAAAGCAAAGGCAATTTGATGGAAAGGTTGCCGTCTCTCTATCCTGATACTCAAAACAAGCAATCCAAGCCGGCTGCACCCATGTCCGCGACTGCACTCTTACAAAAAGCAGCCCAGATGGGTTCAACAAGAAGCAATCCATCGTTCTTTGGAAGCAGTTTCGGTGTAATGAGCCCATCTTTTTCTCATACAGCTAGTTCGAGTTCAACACAGAATGGAAATGATCAGCTGCACCAGGTTTATCCAAATGTGAAGCAACAAGAGAATTTCATGGCATCAAGTAGTGTATCAACGAGTGCTGATGCAGGTCTCAGAAGTTCCAATTTGAATTCATTGACCAGTGCAACAAGCAACAACCTTGATCAGCTCATGTTGCAAACAGAAGCAAAACAAGGTGACCCAAGTCAATTAAAGATGCACCCTGGTCCAAATTCCATTGATCAAAGCCTGACTAGAGACTTCCTTGGGATGAGCAATGATCAATCCTCTCGTCCATTTTTACGCCAAGAACTAGCCAAATTTGCATCAATTGGCTCAACCATGGGCCTGAGTCAATTCGCCAGCAACCACTGAGCTTAGCTACCTACCTTTCCAAATACCATTATAGCTCGTATATAAAAAAAAGTGCAGCAACAATATACGATCGTAGTCTTATACAATATAACTGCAATATAGTTTTAGAAAAGCTGAAAAATGTGGGATCGAGAGTTGGAGTCTCGGTGTACAAGGCAAAGCAAAATCAAACACCCAGAAAAAGCACAGAAACTCATCTTGTGAATGATCAGTGATACTGCCGAGGTGGCCCCACTTCCACGTTTGAAAGTCTAAACAATGGACCAACTCCAAGTCTTGCATGTACTCTTTGTTGTTGTTATTGTTGTTTTGTTTAGCGTCTCAGCTCTCTTATGGTTTTTTCAAAGTTAAAGTAAACTAAAGTATTTGGTTGACTGTTAAAAGTAAAGCGGCTAAGTCGTCAACGCGTTGGTTGGTAGGGATTAGGAGAGAGACCAGGGGAGATTAATTTGTACTCCATTCGTCGGTTCATTTGCAACTTGTTCTTGGTTTTGAACTTTATTTGACAAAAATTATATATAATTTTAATAAAATTAAAAAATATTTTATATTTATTATGTGATACAAATTTTGAAATAATATTTTTTATATTTTAAATGTATTTAATATAAAATAAACAAATAAATTACCATGTCTATTTAAAAGCTTACTTTGCACCATTAATTTTGTTTTTTTTTTATATATTTAAATGTTAGTTATTAGGGAAGACTTACAAATTAGTAGCCTTTACACGTCTCTAATTTGTTTTATTTTTCACATATTGATATATGTTTGTCTATTTGTTTAGCATAGGAGTTTTTGTTTTTGTTTTGTTCACTTTATTTGGCTTGTAATCACAAGTGAAATGAAGGAAGGTAGGCAGTGACAGATCAAATTAAGTACGATCTTTTTATTGTTTAGGTTTAAATAAAAAATTATGAAAAAAAATAATTTTTTTATAAACTTAATTAATTATTGATAAATTTATTTGGATTGATTAAAAAATATACAAGATAAAACTCAAAAAATTCCACTAAATAAAAAAAATTTTAAGTAGGAAGAACGTAGGGGTTGCAAGGTAGACCTTAGTCTAATGAGAAATCTAGTCAAATTATGGGGCCAAGGAAAGGATGACGGCTTTGGAGGAGTGTTAGAAATCAAGGATAGCCGTCTGGATCTGTCCTTAATTGATAGAATTTGGAAAAAAAAAAAAAATCCCAAATGATCAGTTACATTTATAGATTTATTTTCTTCAATGATTATTGTTTAATTTTTATAATACGACTGAGGTATCTTTAATTAAGTTTTTTAAAAATCTAATTATCTCGTCGACGAACTTAAAAACATATATTCGTGTATAAATATAATATATTTAAAATTTTATTCTCCAAATATTTATGATATGTAAATAATGTTACGATGCCTCTATAATTTTTTTTAATAAAAATAAAAAACTTTGAAATCGACTCTCCAAATAAAGATACATATATTAAATCAAACATTCATGTGCAATATCTTATATATCAGTATCTACATCAATGTGATGATTTTGAAATATATAATCTAATTAATTTGGTAACAACAAATTTCAATTGTTAAAATTAATTAAAATTTTCAAACAGTTTTTATTGATTAACAATGATATGGGATTGATACATAACATATAGCAATTTTATAATTAAGATCGTATAATTATAATATAAGTTTATTTTCTAGTCACATATAGTAATTTTAGTTCACATATATAATAATTTAATTTTTTTTCCCATTTTTCTTAGCTCCTCTCTCTTTCCCTCTGCTTTGTTTTCTGCTGATGAACCATCATAGAAGAGGACATAGGCAAATACAACCTTGGATAGGGCACTGTAGTCTTGCCCCTAACTTTTAATGCCCTTAAAGAAAATTAAACAAAATTTTTTTTTTTGAAATGGAAATGCTTCCTGCTTCATAGAACCAAATGCACAAAACGAAAGAGATATCCAAATTATTAAATTTGGGTTTTTTTTTTGTATAAAGAAAGTGAATGTTATTATATAGTGATTTTGACCCTTTTATTGGTACTTGTCACCACCAGCTTTAGCTTTTTGAGACTTGGGTCACCCTATGTCTTTCAAGTTTTGAACTTGTTCCGGTATTTTAGTATTAATTAATATTTTTTATGAAAAAAAATTAAGAATAACTGTGGTTATTTCATATTTAAAGTCAGAATAAATCCTTAACTTAATTGAAATTTACGAATTCATTAAACTTTAATTTATGGATAAATCGTTAATTTAATTGAAATTTACAATTTTATTAAACTTTTATTTACAAATTTTTTGAACTTATAAATCATCTACTCATTAAAAATTGAGAAAAGATTCGAATCTAAATACTACGCACCCCTTACCACTTATGCTTGTTGACGTATTGATTAATATTTGGAATTCCAAAATATAACACTTCCATTCCATCACCTTTTGCAAATGTCACACAACACAAGCTTCAAACAAGTTTTTAGCTTAGGATAAAAGTTGTAGTATAATTATAAATTTGTTTCCAAATAATTTTCAAATATGAGTTATTAGATTATGTCTTTTAAAAAATCATTAATATATTAGTTTTATAAAAAATTTTAAAAAGTAATAAAAGCAAAATTACATATTAACAACCTTGTGTAAACTTGAAGTGTCAATAAATTCTAATCTATATGTAGAAGATAGCCCTTGGGGTTTTGAGTTCATAGGTCATTTTGCCCAACAAATTAACCCAGCTATGAAAATCTAGTTTTAATTCATTAGGGTTTATATATATATATGAAGAGGACCAAATTAAATAACCTAATTGAGATTTTAATGATTTTGGACCACCCTCAAGCTTTTCACCATTTCATATTTCTTGTATCGTGCTTTTCACTTGTATAGGGGTTGTTCCACCAACAAGAGTCAATGGCATCCACTTATCTAATAGAGGTTGGAGCTCCATTTGAAAGTTTCTCATATTCACCATAGCTTTTATTCTTATTTTGCTCATTATTTTGTTTTTTGTTTGTTTTTTGCCGGGACTTTCATGCCATTTGACCTTTTTTATTTTTTATTTATAAAATTTAAAACAACTTTATTAATTTAATATAAATAAAAATTGTTATTATATGATAAATAAATTTTATTGTTATATAATAAATAATATCTATTTCTGTTTGATTGAATTAAAATTTTAAGATTTTTAATATTGTAAATAATATTAAAAAATATATAAATAATTTATCAATAAACTTTTAAAGTAAAGTTTTTAATGATAGTTTTTTATTCTTACTATCACCGTTGTTTTGTTATCCAAATATGTATTAGAATTACTGATTTTAATTTCATAATTATAATATCCAATTTTATTATTACAATAATTAATTTCACTATCATTATTATTTTTAATTTTATCAAAATTAATATCGATATCCCACAGCATTTTTGGGCTATTTCTTGTTTTATGGTAGGAAACTGTTTCCTCATGGCCCGATCGAAGGAAGAGTTGGGCTGAGGAGGTTCAGGAAAGTGTCTGGTCGGGCCAGAGAAAACTCACTCTATGACTTGTCAATCACCTACTGGTTTAAAATTCCACAGGTTTCGGACCGCTTAATCCACGTGTATTCCATCCATTGGCTGAAGCAACCTGGAATGACATGCAAATCCTCGGTTCATTGAACACTTGTTCGAAATGTAAACGACTCGAAGAAACGTCCAAACTCAAAACCCAATTTTTTTTTTCTTTTTCCTGACAAATATTTGGAGTTTTCCAAATCCCAAATCAAAATCATCAAACAGACATCCTAAAAATATACAAAAAACTCCTATGTAATTCCATAGATTTGTTGAAAGAGAGGAAGAAAAATGTTGAAGAGTTTGAGTTTGAGTTGGGCCTTCAATTCAATGGCTTGGAGAGGATTGGTCTACACATTTTTTATACTCCATTTTGTATTGTTTTGTCAGATTCTGTTTCTTCAGCCTCTCGTTTCTGCTTTGGGTCAGTCAGCCTTTTTACTTTTACTCTTTTGTGTTTTTGGAGGATTCCCATTAAGTTGGTGCAGTTTGATGGTTCGATCTGGGGATTTGTTTGATAAAATTAGTTGCTTTTATCTGTAAATTTGGGTTGTATATATCTGGGTTTTGTTTGAGTAAGATTAAAGGAAGGTTTTGGATTAGAGATTGTGAGAAAGTTAAAGTCTTGGAGGGAAAGAGAAAATTGATTAAAATTTTTTATATTAGTTGTTTCTGTAGGTGTTGGTTATGATTTATCTATGATCAAAGAAACTCGTTTTTGGTTTTTCCTTGGACTATTGTTTTCTGCAAAGAATGCCTTTGAAAGTCAATTACTCATTTTATGCTTTTGTAATTGCTTCTGCATTGCCATCTTTATTTATCCATCTTGTGTACGAATGTAAGAACAAGACCTTTTTTTTTTAAATATGGAAAAAGGTTTTGAATTTTATATATTTTCCTGTAAAAAGATTATCAATTTAGGACCCTAATTAGGTAAGGACGAATAATTTCCTCATTTTTTATGGTTTATCATCGTTTTTGGTCATTACCCTTCTCTGGTGGACATTGGTGGAGTAGAATTGTGTATTGGATGGTTCAGCTTGAAAAAACAATTTTCCTTTTTTCATACTTTTAAAATGTACTCTAGTTAACAAAATGAATTGAAAAGCACCAGGTCGTGCAAGCATGAAAGTGATGACTGCATAGCTGCTTAACTTCTTTGCAGAAGTGTATCTTTTGTTTGATTTTTGACTGACTTTTTAAGTCCCAGCAGCTGAATAGCTGGTGCATCTTGTTTGAATATTAGAATTGATATTCATGGAGTTTTTTTGGTTTGATTGTAACTGTTAGTAAATGATTACCTTCCCTGTTTCTTTGTTCTTAAAATTTCCACTTGGATGTGCAGATGGAAAGCCGGGAAATGCCGCTGAGTTATTTGAGAGAGTTTCACGGAGTATAAAAGTGAAGCGCTACAGTGAAGCACTCAATGATCTTAATGCTGCTATTGAGGCAGATCCAGCACTTTCAGAAGCATATTCTCGCCGTGCATCCATTCTGCGTCAGCTATGCCGGTACTGTTGAAACTTAGGAAGTTAGGATATATACTTGTATTCTATCATTCAGAATATCTTTATTTTCCTTTTTCATGTTTCATTCAAATATGAAGAAATTATAATGAGATATGGTTTTATTGAGATATTCTAAAGTCTTTGATGACATTTTCCTATACTTCCTAGAAAAATGTGGTATGAATGTTTTTGTGAAGTTTTATGGTTCCTTTGCACCTTGGAGGTAAAATGTTTCTAGTATTTTCTCTCTTACTCTCTCTCCTACCATATCTTCGTCTTCTGATTGGAAAATTATATGACAGGCACTTTTTCAATGATGTAGATATGAGGAATCTGAGAAAAGCTACAAAAAGTTTCTGGAACTAAAACCTGGAAATTCAGCTGCTGAAAAGGAACTGTCTCAATTGCATCACGCTCAAAGTGCTTTGGAAATAGCTGTCAATCTCTTTGACTCTGAAGACTATACAAAAGCTTTGGAATACGTGGACAAAGTTGTACTAGTTTTTTCTCCAGCATGCTCTAAGGTAGCACCTACTATAAATTTCTGTTCTTTAATTTTTCCTTGAGTTATAGCAATCTTTATAAACTCTAACACGCTTCATTACTTGCAGGCTAAGCTCCTCAAAATGAAGTTGCTGTTAGCAGCTAAAGACTATTCTAGTGCTATATCAGAGACTGGGTTTATTCTCAAGGAAGATGAGAACAATCTTGAGGCCTTACTCCTTCGTGGTCGTGCATACTACTATTTAGCAGATCATGATGTTGCTCAAAGGTTTGTTTAAATTTTTTCTTGGAAAAGAGTATTATGATGCTGTTGGGTTACATAAGGAATTGGGATTTAATAGATATGATACGTGATCTTTTCAGGCATTACCAGAAAGGTCTCCGCCTTGATCCAGAGCACAGTGAACTGAAGAAAGCATATTTTGGATTGAAAAATTTACTGAAGAAGACTAAAAGTGTAGGCCCACTAAACATCTTTTTGAAATCTCCCTCTCCCTTTTTTGTCCTGTCTGAGATCAGTGTGGGGTTTAGATACATGGTAGTTTGGTACTGGCCCTATTTATATTTTATTTTTTAACTTAAAGATGGTCATGTCATCCACTATGTATCTTAATTTTGTTTAGATACTTGAACTCATGACTTGTGTAGGCGGAAGATAATGTAAGCAAGGGTAAGTTGCGCCTTGCAGTTGAGGACTACAAAGGAGCGCTTGCATTGGACCCCAATCATCTTACTCATAATGTGCATCTTCACCTTGGATTGTGTAAGGTCTTGGTTAAGCTTGGCAGAGGGAAGGATGCTTTAAGTAGTTGCTCTGAGGCCCTTAACATTGATGGGGAACTTCTTGAAGCTTTAGTACAGGTCTGCTGAATATTCGGTTCACTTTGTCCAACTTTTTATTACAGTTGGTCGAACATTATGCCATAACTCTCATTCTTTAACTTTATGTTTCAGAGGGGTGAGGCTAAACTTTTAGCAGAGGACTGGGAAGGTGCTGTGGAAGATCTGAAATCAGCAGCTCAAAAATCACCTCAGGTTAGCCATAATATTAAATTTGGATGATAATTGTCTTTGTTAAAATTTATACTCCCAGATTATAGTTTTAGGCTTCTCATATGGTAATGATATTAGACCAGTAATATCTTATGTATGAGACATCTTATATGCATTTGTTTCTATACCTAAAAAGAAAAGCTTTTCTGGATAAGGGATAATAATTCTGTAGATTTAAGGCTGTGTTTTTGTAGTTCTTTTGATTGGTGCATTTTGAAGAGTTTTTGAATTCTATTTAAGATACAGGGTTTGCTTTCATGGATTTTTATTCTGTTAGCATTATTGCTAAGTGAGAATAAGATAACAATATAATACAGTAACATCGTAGAAATCCTAATGTTAAACCTTCATTGCTGTCTTCTTATTGTCAATAAAATTTTAGATCAACTTAAGAATTATATTTTGGTTATTGTCCTAACTTATATGTATCTCTGGCTTCAAGAGAGCTAAAAATTGCTTGCTTTGCAGGATATGAATATCCATGAAGCACTTATGAGGGCTGAGAAAGCTTTGAAGGTGAGCAAACGCAAAGACTGGTACAAAATCTTGGGAGTTTCAAAGACTGCTTCAGTTGCTGAAATAAAACGTGCATACAAGAAGCTTGCTTTGCAATGGCACCCTGATAAGAATGTTGATAATAGAGAAGAAGCTGAGGCACAATTCCAAGATATTGCTGCAGCATATGAGGTCTGATTCATTAATATTTAACTTTCTTTATCATTGGTATAATGTTTCAACTTCAACTTTTTGCTGATAAAACCTTGGGATCATTAATACTTTTTAATCAATGCCATTTATTCCAGATAAAATGAACGAAATGCTAATAACATGTTGCCTTTCACGTACAGGTTCTTGGGGATGAGGAAAAGAGATCAAGATATGACAGAGGAGAAGATATTGAAGACATGGGTATGGGAGGTGGTGGTTTCAATCCATTTGGTGGTGGTGGGGGACAGCATTTCACATTTACATTTGATGGAGGGTTTCCAGGAGGCTTTGGAGGAGGGTTTCCAGGTGGTGGTGGATTTGGTTTTAACTTTTGATACCTTCACAAAATGGTTATAAGATTGCATTTTTCAATCTTGACCCCTAACACCAATATGACTAGGCCTGACATCTTTTGGCAGTATGTAACTTACACCACTAGAAGTGGCTTCTTACATTAGCAATGTATCCCGTTCACAAAGTTTTGCTCCATTTAATTCATTTTAAAATTTGTATCAAACTTGATGATAGGAAATTGAAGAGCTTCAATTTAGTTATATGTTGAGTCTTTCTTTATGGGTTCACTTTGGAACCTTATTTCTCAATAAAGTTTATATCTTTCCCACCAAATCTCCGAATGAAATTAATATATGTTACGTATTAAATGATAGGCTGATTTCTTTGTTTAATTAGTTTAATTAGTTGTTTCAGGATCCCATCTGACTTTTAGTAATATGATCTGCTTTGTTGTTGAGCCCTTCTTTTGAGTAGCAGAGGCCATTACCCTGTTTCCTAGTGGCTAGTGTATTGAAGAACCATAACTTCTATGGATAGGGTAGGACAAGTCAACCAATTGGCTACATTCCAATCGTTGTAAGACTGAGGCTGCAACGAGCTGGAATATTTTCTAACTTTAGTTCTCATTCTGCAGACTTCAGGTTTCATTTACACTGCATGGCTGCTTAGAACTATATAACACCTTAAATGTGCTTGAACAAGGCTTTTCATTGCATATAAATTTTGCAAATTTCAAGCAGCGTCTTAAATTTTAGTTCAAGTTTTTTGTTTCCAGGATCGAAATGCATCCAGTTCTTTTGTATAAAAGAGAATGAGAGAATATACAAAGAATCAAGATTTAATCAAATAAATGATACAGCAACATATCCCATGCCAATATGAAAACTCAAATGCTCCAAAAAGTTGCCCTGAAAAATGCAAATCCGGAAGAAACCATTGCCATGGGATGGAGTTTCAGGCTGATTGCACCAGATGAGTCAGTATCAGCATCACCCTTATATGCCTTAGGGGTTGAAACTGGAACATTCTTCTCTGGCTTAGCCGGTGCAGTAGCGGGTGCTGGTCCAAAAATTTGCAATGGGAGGAGCAACTGATCACTTGATAAACAGCAATCCGGCGATCAAAGTATACAGAGTTAGCCACTGTTGCATTGACGACACCAGTCGTTTCACATGATTCCCTGAAGCAGTCACATTTAGCGGGAACTTACCACTCCTAATATCACCTGCTTGTGTACGCAAAGGATTGCCGACAGTTTGGAACTGTGACACAGATATCAAGGAAGGGAGGATATGGAATTAAAACAGCTAGAGTTTTTCTTGATCAGAAAGCAAGCTTAGTGTTCCAGGCTTGAGGGCCACTGAATGCATTGTCAGTTGGAGCAAATATTGTCAACCCATCATTCGGATCAGGGGTGCTTGGTTGTTTCGTTTATCAATTACCTGGGTGGCTTTCAGCAGCCTAATGAAAGGGGTGAATTGGCCACCCTTTTCAAGGATTGAAGTGATATTATACGGCGTAACGGAGGAGCGGAGGCTATTTAAGCAAAAGTTTTGGTGCAAAGGAAGAAGAATTCCAGGAAAAGAAAGGGAAAGAACAGTTGCTTTACAAGACTGGAAGAAGGAAGAACATGGGATTATTGGAATCTAATTTGAGCTGTGAATGTAGGACTCAATGAGCAAAACCGTGGTGTTTCTGCTTGTTCTATGGACATCTTTTCCTTTATTTAAGTTGTCAATAAAAGTTAAGCTCAAAGCTTATTTTAATTGAATCATACAATCATTTTAAAAAATAATATTTAATAAATCTAAAATTTTAATTTCAATATCTACTATCTTTTTTTTATACATAGAATACAGTTCTTATATATTAAAAAGTTTTCAATAAAAGCTGAAAAGGATTAGTGGTCTGGTGGACCTGATGGTTTTGGTTGCCTAAATGGACCGAAATTTCACTCTTATCTGAGACAAAATTTACATTATTGGTTAGAACTTTGCAGGTTGTTGCTTAAGAAGAATACAGGCATACATGCAAGAACACAAAAGGTCGAGGAAAACAATGTTGTTTTGTTTTTATTTTCCCCTTCTTTCTCCAGTATCGGGTATGATTTCCAACATTCCAACATATTTAAGGCCTCCAGCTTCAGAATGGCTTGGCCTTTTGCGAGCCCAGATCAAAGGATTGGGCTTCACAAATGAGTCTGTTGGAGTATTCTAGCCATCTTATTTATAGGGTCAGAGTCCAAACCAAGAAATCAGACTGGGCCTTTCAACCTGTTTACCTGAGCCCAATTCATCAAACGAATTTCTTGCATGTTAACTCTGGGCAAATCAAACAAAACAGAAAAGCTCTGGCATTTGCCTTGCATCAGTCTCCCTCCCCTTTCTCAGTTTATAATTTCAAAGCCAGAAATACACTCTCTTCAATCCTCCACCTCATCCCCGCCGACAAATCCGTTGACTTTTTCCAAACTCCTCCCAAAAGTCAAATCTCTCAACTACATCTTATAAAAGCATATATACAAAGCCCAGGTTACAGACGGACCATTAAAAACTGAGAAACTTCTCATAAGCTGTAACCAATCCATACCCTTTCTCTCACCTCTTTTCTTTGATCCCTGTGCCCATTGAAGAACATAAAAGGAAAAACGAAAATCTTTTTTTTTTGTTTGTTTTTGGGTTTTATTGTTTTTGTCTTAGGAAATAAGAAATTTTCAAAATTGATAAGAAAAGGAAGAAGAAAAAAAAAAAGAAATCGTAGTGTCATGATCAGATGTTATCGGGTGTATGATAAGAGATACCATGATCAACACAGCCAACGGTATGATTCCGACATCATCTTCATCGGCAAACGCTCAATCGCCGGGTTTGAAGACTTATTTTAAAACCCCAGAAGGTCGATATAAGCTTCACTATGAAAAGACTCACCCTTCTGGCCTTCTTCACTATGCTCATGGCAAAACTGTTACTCAGGTAACTTCATTTCTATTTTTTTAAAAATATTTTTGAGTGTCCATTTTCTTAAATAATTGAAAAAAAATTATTTTTTGGTTATTCTTTTGGGGTTTTGATCAAGACCCATCTTTTGATATCACTCTAAATTTGCCTTTTTTGTAGTATGGGATTTCTTTTTGGTGTTTTTGATGCATAAATTTTATAATTAGACAATGAAGGCATTCCAATTTCTTTGGAAAATCGGGTTTTTAACAAATACCCATTTGTTGGAAGCATTGAATGAACAGTATTTATTAGGTTTTTTGTATTTTCAATGTTTAAGAGCATTGTTGGTTAAAAGATTGGAATTTAAATCACTGCCCATGCTTCTAAAGTCAAATTTTAATATTTTTCGTGTTATACTTATGTTGCATAAGGATTATATTTGATTAAGTTTGATTGTCAGGTTACCCTAGCGCATCTGAAGGAGAAGCCGGCTCCTTCAACTCCAACATCTGCATCCTCCAGTTTCAGTGCTAGCAGTGGTGTTAGATCAGCGGCAGCGAGATGGCTAGGTTCTGGGAATGGGAGCCGTGCGCTTGGTTTTGCTGGTGGGAATGGTGGGACTAAAAGTGTTAGTGGTATTAGTAGGATTGGGTCATTGAGTGCTTTGAGTTCAAGTAATTCAATGACTAATACAAATTTTGATGGGAAAGGAACTTATTTAATCTTCAATGTTGGTGATGCTATTTTTATAAGTGATTTGAATTCTCAGGATAAGGTAATTTAGAATTTTGTTGTTACGGTTTCTGATGAATGGGAAGGGTTTTCCATGGTGCTGTTTTTAAGAATCTTGGTGTTCAATGTAGGATCCTATAAAGTCTATCCATTTCAGTAATTCAAACCCTGTCTGCCATGCGTTTGATCAGGATGCCAAGGACGGGCATGATTTGCTTATTGGGTTGAATTCTGGGGATGGTAATCCTTTTTACCCTTTTTAATTTTCGATTTTAATTCCAAGGTTTAAACTCTGCAAATTTATCGGTTCTGTTGTATTATTGCAGTTTTCTCGGTGTCGATGAGACAGCAGTTACAGGATGTGGGAAAGAAGCTTGTTGGGGCACAGCATTACAATAAAGACTGTTCTGTGAATAACAGGCAAGATTTAGATTACTAAATCCTACATACATTTTCTGATTTTTCAGAAGTTAGACTTTTTCAACTTTTCTTTGCCATCGTTTTTTCTTTTTTTTTTAATTTCCAAGTTTAAGATGTTCTGTTTAGGTCTTCTTGCATGTTGATTCTTGTAGATTTATATGTTCTGGTTCTAGGATGGCATAAAGATAGATTATAATTACAAAGGCTTTGTAGCAGGATAATTTTCTATGACATCTTGCATATGCAGGTTGCTTTGATTTAATTATTATGAAAATATTTTTTTTTCGAATATATTTTTGTTGTTTTACAGGGCAATATTGCCGTTTCAGTCACCCATAATTTTAACTTTCCATAAAGTCAGCAACTGAGTTGCCCTCTCATTAAGTTGATCTCTCATTGAGTTGTTCGTTAATCTTTTTAGCAATATTCGACTTGTAGTTGGTCTTCCAATTCTAAAATTTTGCTTTCCTCTTGGGCTTCCCCTCAGGATAGTAAAAGGGGACTACCAATTTTTTTGTGACTAATTGGTGTTTATCTTGAGTTGATTTTTTTTATTGTGTTGTCTCTACGCCTGTCTGATTAATGCCTGTTGTTTCCAGCAGTCGCTGTACTAGTATTGCATGGGTTCCTGGAGGTGATGGTGCTTTTGTGGTTGCTCATGCTGATGGAAATATGTACGTGTATGAAAAGGCAAGTTTCCAATAATTAAGAAGGCTTTTTTCACTTCTGGGGGTACAACTTACAAATTTCATGATGTTGTATGCAGTAAGTTGTTTTTTTGAGTTTTTTTCTTTTCTTCTTTTTCTTTTTTTGTCTTCTAGAACAAGGATGGTTCTGGTGATTCTTCATTCTCTGTTATCAAAGACCAAACTCAATTTTCGGTTGCACATGCACGTTACAGTAAGGTACTGGTCAGTTTTTATTTTAGAAACTATTTTAGACTTTCTTATTCATGTATGCTTCCTGAAAATTGGTATTCTTTACCTTAGAACCATAGTTATAGCCAGACAACATTCTGTTTAAATATAGATGATGCATGTGTAGCTGAGGTGTGCGTGATCTAGACTGTGAAAATGGGAATTGACACCCAAATTTCTTAGAGAGCTGCAATTAGTCCTAAGTTTGCCAATGGTACTTTTTTTTGAAGATCTGCAAGTAGTTCTAATAGAAACACGTTAATCATTGATGCTCAAAACCTTCACTCAACACATTTAGCTAGCAATGTGGTATGTGGATGAAAAAAGAAAAAGAACTTAGTCTTCTGCTTGCCCGCTGGTGTATATGTGTATTTTTTTATTTTATTACAAGTTAATGCGATGATAGTCATGATATGTGTCAAGATAGAGGACCCACCTTCGCACTGTAATTGGTATTAGTCTGACTGTTGTTTGACATCATTGAGGAAGCCATATACATTTTCTCCTATCTTCCAACGTATTGTTTGTTTGTTGACTTGCCACTTTTTACTTGCAGAGTAACCCAATTGCAAGATGGCATGTTTGTCAAGGTTCAATTAATAGCATCGCTTTCTCCTTTGATGGGGCCTACATAGCAACCGTTGGAAGAGATGGTATTAAGTCAAATTCACATCATTTGAATTACGTGGCCATTTTCTTTTCTAGTTTGTTTGAACTTTAAAACATTTTCTTTTTCATTTGCTGAGTGCAGGTTATCTGAGAGTTTTTGATTATTCAAAAGAACAGCTCGTATGTGGTGGCAAAAGTTATTATGGTGCTCTTCTATGTTGTGCTTGGAGGTGTGCTATATATATATATATATATATATATATATATATATATTTGAACTTTTTAAACTCATGCATGCTGTTTATCTAGAGTGTACTTTGCTTTCAATTTGTCATTTTCCATTCTTTTTATATAAGATCTAAGTTATTACATTTGGGGAAAATAAAATTTGTCATTGACAACATTCATTAAACAGTGTGGATGGGAAATATGTTCTGACCGGGGGTGAAGATGACTTGGTTCAAGTTTGGAGTATGGAAGATCGGAAGGTTGTGGCATGGGGTGAGGGGCACAACTCGTGGGTAAGATTCTTATCTTCTAATGAAGGCTTCTATTTATTTGTTGTGGATGATGATGGCTCTGTACTCATTTCCTTCTAAATGGTGCTGGCAGGTTAGTGGAGTGGCATTTGATTCATATTGGTCAACGCCTAATTCTGATGGCACAGGGGAGACTGTGATGTACCGGTTTGGTTCTGTTGGTCAGGTAATAGATGTTAGTTTGGTCAAAATAATGACTGTCCTATTATCATCTATCTTGATGCCGTGTTTTTCCATGGTTCTTTCCTGTTCATGTTTTTCTGATTGTGTTTATATGGAGTCAACTCTTAAGTTCCAAAATATCTAGCTTTAGCAAGTTGGACATGCCTCACACTTACGATTATGTTGTTGAAGCAACATTTCTAGAGGTAGGGGTTGCTTCCTTTCTCTACCTATACCCTAGTTGGCTGTTTCCAGGATGGATTACTGGTGATATGGTAGCACAATGATGAAGTGTAGGTTGTAGGAAATATTTAGATTTTAAACTATATGAAACTATAGGTCTGCATCGGTTACTATATATTGTAGGTTCCTTAGCTTTGGTTCTTGTTTAAATAGCATCTTAAACAGCTAATATGAAGAATATCATTTTTACTTGGAGCATACAAATGGGGAAAACTGAAGAATGATGATGAAGCCAAATCATATTGGCAAAGAATCAGGGAGTACTTCAAGAACATTCTCTGATGAACAGATGCCTTATATTTTTACAGAATGTCACTGTCATACAAAAACATTTTATGGTCAAGGAACATGGTTTTAAAGTTAGTTATCGTCATCCTTTGCCTTGTCTGTCTGTTCCTTTAACATGTGCGGAAAAGGAGGAAAAAAAAGAGAAAAGCAACCCCTGCCCCCTGCCTTCAATGCATGCAACCCACAGACATGCACCAAAGGAAAAAGTTTGGCAATCAAACAAGTAATTCCTTCTTTCCTGTTGAAGGGGGGCATCTGACTTTAGGCTTGAGCATTAATGTATTCAAACTGAAATTCAGGCTCTAAGAATAAACTTGATGAACCTTTTTATGCATACACTATTCTAATAATCTGCATTATTCCCCTTGACTAAAATAGCTATACTCCCTTGCAGCACCTGCAATATCCTTCACATCTCATTACTGCCTTCTTCTGTGTAGGACACACAGTTGTTATTGTGGGACCTGGAAATGGATGAAATCGTAGTGCCATTGCGTCGAGGCCCTCCTGGTGGCTCTCCCACTTACAGCACCGGCAGCCAATCTTCCCACTGGGACAATGTATGCCCATTGGGTACCCTGCAGTCTGCACCAAGCATTCGAGATGTTCCAAAAATTTCACCACTGGTTGCTCATCGTGTTCATACTGAACCGCTCTCGGGCTTGATTTTTACCCAGGAATCCGTACTTACTGTTTGTCGAGAGGGGCACATAAAAATCTGGATGAGACCCAGTGTCGCGGAAAGCCAATCAAGCAACAGTGAAACTGTGTTGAGTAACAGTTTCAAGGATAAGCCATTACTTTCCGGCAAGATTGGCAGTTCTAGCTACAAACAATGACCAGACCATCATCAAAAGATGCAAGGCAAAACAAAGCTCATTTCTTGTCTCTGATGGAGTTGCATTTCAATTTGCTAGTGTGGCCATTCATCGCTCTTTATGCAGTTGGTCTTCTCAGAGTACAACCGTGTGAACATAGTTGAATTGCAATGAGATTAACCAACTGAATCCATTGTATATTCAAGGACAAAAATGCCATTGACAGCACAAAGAGGTCTGGGGAAGAAAGGACCTCCATTGTAAGTACAAACGGCTATTCCTAGAATATATGACACTGACAGGAATAACATGAAGTTGCTCCTTCAAGATTTGTATTTCTTAGAGGTGCATTTGAGTGATTATTTATTATTGGCGATGCATCATTACCATTACGATATGATTTATGTTGGATCATCAAAACATTGATGTTGAACATGCGGATAGCTTCATGCACATTGCTTCATGAGTTCTTGTCTAGGTGACCGTTGCCCTGAAATTGGGATATTGAGATTCAAGATCTTTCCACTTGTTAATGTATTGTCATTTTCTCTATTCATTGAGTTGTGAAAATAACTCACAGGAATTAAAGCATTATTACAGCTTATTACTGGAACTGAAATTAAACAAAAAAACAGAAAAGCTTTTCTCCTTGCAGTGTTAATAAAACCACCAATAAACAAGCATGTAATGTTGAGCATCTCTACATATGACACAGTTACCATACAGCCGAAAGGTTTTCATTTTATAGTGTTTATACATCTCTCCTTTCAGTTCCATTAGGGTGAGTATCCGTCTGAGTTTGTTCCAGGGTCACCGGTGGTTGATCTGGCTGTGGAACCTCTTGAGAACCAAGTCGATGATTTGACTCAGCATGCCGCCTTTTCCACCGTCTTGAAACATCATGAAGAATAAAGGTTCCACACATTGTGCCTCCAAACCCAACAAATGCAGAGAGAATGACAGAGAGAACAGCCTGTACATGGAGCTGTAGATCACATGAAACACGGGATGCACTATTAAAAGAGAAAAAGGGTCCATATACTAAGCATGCAAGCTACAATCTGAGACTTCTGAACTCTAATTGTTCTACCAAGTGCATTATGAGAAAGAATATCTCTTACAAATGAGTAGAAAAGATGAGCTGAAAGAGCCACCAGTCCAAACTGAATTGTAGCATAAATCCAGACATATTTTCTCCTCACTAAAGCAAAATTTGGAAGTCAATAGGAAGCTTAACCAAATTCAGAAGAAAACTATGAAGAGAATTTTCATAAACAAACTTAACCCCACCCATTGTTGTTGATGTCATGGAAGCAAGGAGACCCAATATACAGGAAAAAGGAAGAGAGATGGCAATCGCACCGGTCTTCATTTTTGAAACCTGAGCACATGATGACTTTAGGTACAATGAAAAGCTTGAAAGGGAAGGAATTACCAAATTGCTAAACTTACCAGCAGCTGCTCAAGAAAACAAAAGTAAGCAAGCATGCTAACAATGACAAGAATGGGAACATCCTGCCAGAACCTGTCAAAAATACCTTTATGTTAAGGATATACAGTCGTTGATGATAATGTTGAACCAAAATAAGAGTAGAAAATGCATACTTCCATGGCCAAGTAGTTTAGAATTTTTACTTTCTGAATTAGTCATAAGAAAACGTTAAAAAAAATGATGGCAAAAATCATTTGTTGCCAACTGCATAGGTTGGCACTATATACTTGCCTGTATCTAGCAGCCACAGCTTGTTGTTCCCCACTTCCTCTCAAATTATGAGCCTGAACATTTTGAACTCGTAAAAGAGTAACAGGTAGGTTTTGAACCTCTTGCTTGCACACGTCGCATGTTTTGTTACCTTTGATGCTAAACCATTTTATGGCACATTCTTGGTGGGCAAGGGCAAGTTCACCTTTGCAGCTACATTCCATCTTGAGGGTCTCAGCACCTTCTCCCAGTTCATTCAAGCAGATTCTACAAACAGCTTTTTCTTCAGGAATATGTTCACCACCATCATCATTTCCATCTGAACAATAAGACTAAGATAAGACATAGGTTGGTTATCACAAGCATAAAAAGAAAACAGAGGTTAGACTAGAACATCATAGCATTCAGAGTTTTTCCCACTTGTAAGCTAAATATAATTATTAATAATAATTAAAAATTCCTTGAAAACATCTAACTAGTTCACTAATCAAAAATTTTGCTAGCATATGCAGCCATTCTATTTAGAAAGATATGTTATCAGAAAAATGTGGCTTCATTTTTAGGCGGCCAATATCAAGATTTGGCACAAAAAGTTGAAGCTTTTATGCTGTTACTTAGTTCTGTTGCTGCAGGAAAAATGATATTTTATTTAGTGCCTGAAGAGCATTAGTGAAAATTCAAAGGTATTTCTTGCTAAGTGAAGTTTACACAATTTTGAACCGACTAGGGAAATTTAACAGAAGAGGCCTTTAAATATGTCCAAGTTATTTATCTCAAAATTCTAATCCTTCACTCTTTGTTTAATTGTTATCCTCCTCAGAATTTTCTTTAATTAAAGTTTTCTGTTTGTTTGTGTTGGAGGGGGATTGGGGGTGGGGATGATGTTTTGGGCTTGGTTGGAAGGTGTGAGGGGGTTCTAAGAGCAAAAAAAGGCAATATGCAGAAGAAAATTACCGTTATCATTTTTGGTACATGTGTTCGATGTTGTCAAAACAGTTCCCTTGACTGCTCCTGGAGTTGTAGGAATTACACGAAATACACCCCCTAAAGAATCCAGCTGCATTATGCTTCCATCTTTGATGAGCACAGGAACTGAATGTGACCGATAAATGGGTCGTCTGGCCCCTCCTTTCTGTAAAGTGAGCAATTCTGTAAGAATCAAGTAGAAAATAGGATCACATTGTAAGGGTAAAGGTCAAAATGCAAATTCATGCCATAAATAAATTATTGAGGCAATAAGCATAAAATATGGCCACAATCCTTAGAAGAGATATTGACACTGATATTTCTCAAATTCAGAAGCATAAGTCTAAACATTAACAAAGGAAATTCTAAGTTCCCCAACTCATCTTCTGAATAGGAACTACCTTGTGCTGCATCGACAGAGTCACGGGAACCATTCAATTTAAATATTTTAATGCTGTTGGATTACAGAGACAAAAAAAAAAAAAAACTTGTGAGAATGAACAATGAAAATATGAAACTGAAAATGTTGTACTACTTCATTCGATGGAACTTCCTTAAATACAAAAGGATTTTAACCTAAAACTAGAATGATTGCTAGTCACAAAGCATGATCTTCTTATTTGCAAGCCATAAACAAAAATCACTAACACACAACTAACTTCCATAAACCACAAACACATATCTAACTTCCATAAGCCACTAACAAACATCTAACTTCCACAGACCACTAAAACACATCTAATTTTTCATCACACATTAGCAGCCCATGTCTGCATAATGCAGCTGATGAGGCATTCTTGCAACACTCCTCCTTGCCTCGGTAGCTGCAAAGACCTAGTTTACTTCTTAAAGCTTCAAATCTAGCTTTGGAGAGGGCTTTGGTTAACACATCTGCAATTTGATCCTCAGTGCTGCAATAAAATAGATTGACTTCACCTTCTTTTTGCATTTCTCTTAAGAAATATAATTTGATCTTAAAGTGTTTAGTCCTGCCATGAAAAACAGGATTATTTGATAATGAAATTGCAGCTTGGTTGTCTATATGAATCTGTGTTGGCTCTTCTTCTATGTGTAAGTTTGCAAGTATCTTCCTGAGCCAAAGGGCTTGATTCACAGCTGCAGTGGCTGCAACATACTCAGCCTCAGCTGTGCTCCGAGCTATCACTTCTTGCTTCTTTGAGCACCATGAGAACATTCCTGATCCAAAGCTAAAACAAAAACATGTTGTGCATCTCATGTCATCAACTGAACCTGCCTAATCACTATCAGAGTAACCATGGAGCTTAAAATCCTAACAATAGAAATATTTGATACCATAATTTATTGTGCCCTTAATATATCTAACAATCCTTTTAGTAGCTTTAAAGTGCACCTCACTAGCATAATGCATGAATGGTGAGGGCAGGCTCACTGTAAACATAATGTCTGGTCTGGTGGCAGTACGATACATCAAACAACCAATCAAACTTCTGTACTGACCTTCATCAATTTTGTCTGATCCATCATCCTTGCTAAATTTTTCCTTCTGATTCATTGGGGTATTTGTGCATTTGCAATCCTTCATATGAAATTTCTTAAATATTTCCCCTGCATATTTCTTTTGGCATATGAAGATTCCATCCTGATTTTGCTTCACCTCCATTCCCAAAAAAATAAGACATTAGACCAAGATCTGTCATCTCAAATACTTTGAGCATTTGGGCCTTAAACTCCTTTATTAGCTTCTCATCATTTCTTGTCACAAGCATGTCATCAACATAAATAGAAACTATGATTAGATTAGCATCAGTTTCTTTTACATACAACGTAGTTTCACTTAGGCTTTTAACGAAACCAAGACCTAACAGGTGTTTATCAATCCTGCTGTACCAGGCCCTGGGAGCTTGTTTAAGGCCCTACAAGGCCTTTTTTAACAAGTAGACCTTCTCCTCTTGTCCCTTGACTTGGAAACCTTCTGACTGCTCCACAAAGATCTCCTCCTGTAAATAACCATTTAAAAATGCAGATTTTACATCCAGCTAGTAAACCTTCCATCCCTTCTGTGCTGCCAAGGCAAGTAGCATTATGATTGTATCAAGTCGTGCTACTGGAGCAAAGGTCTCAGACAAATCTACTCCAAACACTTGAGCATACCCTTTCACAACTAATCTGGCCTTATATTTGTTTACAGAACCAAACTTTGGTTCTGTAAACCCATTTGACACATATAGGTTTTTTGTGTTAGGTCTGTCCACCAACTCCCGAGTGTCATTCTTTTCAATCATTCTAAGCTCCTCCATCATTGCTTTAATCCACTTGTCATCCTTCTCTGCCTCTTTAAATACTGCAGGCTCAAAAACAGCAACATTGCACCTTTCATAAATATCAACCATGGCCTTGTACCTCTAACTAGTACTTCATCTATGTCATCCTTAGGATTTGCTGAAACTCTGAGTGTTGCTCCTTTTCTGACTCCTTCCAGTTCCATTGTCTATCCTCCATGAACTTAACATCTCTGTTCATAAGAATTTTTCCATTTTGTGGTTGAAAAATTCTGTAAGCTTTGGATGAGCTGCTATATCCAATAAAGACTCCTAGTTCTGCCTTTTTGTCTAGTTTGTCTCTTTTTACCTGTGGCACATATGAAAAACATAGGCAACCAAAGGTTCTTAGATGCTGCAAGTCTGGTTTAAAACCAAACCATGCTTTAAATGGAGTTCTCTTCTGCAAACTTTGGTTGGTAGTAGGTTTAGTAGAAAGACTACTATATTTGCAGCTTCTGCCCACAATTTCTTTGGTAGCTCCTTTTCATGTAGCATACACCTTGTCATCTCCATTATGGTTCTATTTTTCCTTTCACTTACTCCATTTTGCTGTGGAGTATAAGGTGCCAAGTTGGTGCTACCAGCTTCTTCACAAAATTTGTTAAACTTGTCAGAAGTGTATTCCTTCCCATTATTTGACTTTATTACTTGCATTCTACATCCACTTTGATTCTCCACCATACTTTAAATTTTCAAAATACACCAGCAACCTCATATTTGAATTTAACAGAATCTAGTATAACCATCAATAAATACAATATAGTACTTACTGCCATTTAAATATGATGTTTTTTGAGGTCCTCCTACATCTGTGTGAACCAGTTGAAGCTTGTGTGTTGCTTTCCATGCAATTTGAGGAAAGGGACTTCTGACTTGTTTGCCATACTGACAAGCCTCATGATCTACTATCTTCTCTTCTAGCAATGGTACTCCTTTCACCAGAACGTGTTTTTGCATATAAAGAAGTCAAACATGATGGAAATGCCCAAGCCCCCTGTGCCATAATTCTGCATTGCTTGTGTTATATGGAAAGGCTATACGCCATTCCTCCATTAGATTCAGAGCAAAGCTTTTTCCTCTCATTTTTATCTTAAATGCATCTATGCCTTTTGCATCTTTGATCTTACACCATTTGTCTTCGAATAATATTTTGAAACCCTTCTCAAGTAGTTGTCCAACACTAAGCAAGTTTTGATCTATGTCAGGCACAAATAAAACATCAATAATGCATTTCAAACCTGTTAGACTCTCTATGACTACTATTCCTTTGCCCTTGACTGCAATGTATTCACCATTTCCAATCTTGACTTTGGAAATGTCAGTTTTATCACGTTCTTTAAAAAGTTCATGATCTTTTGTCATGTGGTTTGTGCAACCACTATCAATAAGCCAAGAATCACTAGAATTGTTGTTCATTGCAAAACATGTTGCAACAAACAACTACTCCTTATGATATTGTTTAGTAGCAACATTTGCTTCCTCTCCGTGCTTATGTGACTTGCAAATCTTTTCCATGTGCCCAATCTAACCACATTTTTTGCATTGAATAACTGGCCTTCACCAGCACTTCTTCTGCGGATGATTGGTCTTCTTGCAGTGTGGACAAGGTGGATAAGTTCCATCTTTGCTTTTGTTGTTGCCTGCATTGTTTCCAGGCTTGTTGTTGTTTTGCTTCCTATTGTTCCTTTTTTCTTTGCCTCCTCCTGAATTCTGTGCCTTTGCTTGAAAAGCACCTTCCACAGAATTCTTTTGTCTCATCATCCTTCTTTGTTCTTATGTCTGCAATGCATTCAGCAACTTTGCCAAAAAAATGCTTGACAGATCCTTTGGCTCTTCTAAAGAAGAGATTTTAGCTTCATATTTCTCAGGTAATGTAACCAAAATTTTTTGCACAATTCTCTCATCAGAAAAATCCTTAACAAATAGTCTCACCTTGTTCACAATATTGAGCAGCTTGTCAGGGTACTCTTTGATTGATTTTGACTCTTTCGTTCTTTGCATTTGGAATTCTCTGATCAAATTCAGCATCTGCATGTTCTTCGTCCTCTCATTGCCTTGGCATTCCTTCTTGAGATACTCCCAGATCTCTTTGGCTGATTGTAGGTTCATGATTCTGGTGAATATTGTGCTTGAAACTGCAGAATATAAGCAAGCTCTTGCTTTTGGCTTTCTGGTCCTTTTCTCCTTATGATTCTTAACCTGAGTAACTGTTGGATTAGCAGTTAGTGCAGGAACTTAATAGTAATCCTTCACTGCTTCCCACAGATCCAAAGCATCCAAGTGTACTGCCATTCCAACAGCCCAAGCTTGATAGTTGTCACCATCAAAGACTAGTGGTTCAACTAAGAATGTTTTATGTGACTCCATTTGACTAAGGGTTTTGTGTGTTGCTATGTTTGTGCAGAGGATTTTTGTTTGTAATAATATTTTTTTTTGGTTCACTCAACTCACAGATCCCTCAAGAAGCTTGGCTTTGATACCAATTTTGTCGGATTATAGAGACAAAAAAAAAAAAAAAAACTCGTGAGAATGAACAATGAGAATATGAAACTAAAAATGTTGTACTACTTCTTCATTCAATGCAACTTCCTTAAATACAAAAGGATTTTAACCTAAAACTAGAATAACTGCTAGTCACAAGGCATGATCTTCCTATTTGCAAGCCATAAACAAAAACCACTAACACACAACTAACTTCCATAAACCACTAATACAAATCTAATTTTTCATCACACATTAGCAGCCCATGTCTACATAATGCAGCTAATGAGGCATTCTTGCAACAAATGCCAATGCGCGATAAAACTAATGGTCATAGATGTGCAAATGCAATACAAAAGATAGAGGAAGTCAGGGAACTCTTCAAATTAGGAAGTGCAGCAAGCATTTACATGCATAGAAAATTCACAGAAAGGAATTAAGTGGGTATCAAAGTATATAAGCATTAGTTAATGATATAAAATACCACTGAATTTAACGAGAAAGATGAATTGACAGCTTCCTAAAAGTACTAACAATAGGTGACAATCACTGCATAATTACATGAAATTCAACAGATACATAGGGAGGAGGTTCCTGAATGCAAGCTATTGTGTTTGTAGTTTACAATTGACTTCAGCTAATGTGTTCAATGCTTACTGCAGAATTTAGTAGCTAATTACCTGCCCGTCATGCATGGACTCTGGGTTTGAATGTGCAATTGGGGTACCAGGTAAAAATGATGCATTCTTCATTTTTGGTATGAAAAGCTTTGAAAGGGAAAACGTCCTTGGAATGTGATGCTTCCCATATATATCTGCTGACGAGCCTCGCAGTGCTAAGATGGCAGCCTTTTCAATCTCCAAATTAGTGTTGCGATACTTGAAACTTAACTTTGGAAGGAGGCTTTTGAAGGATGATTTACTTTTTGATGATAAGTAGACTGGAGACTCATCAAATCTGGAATACATAGGGCTAGGCATGGGTGAAAAGTTAACTCTTTTAGGAGTAGCTGTTGGTGTTAAAGGCATGTCTATTCTCATAAAATCTTCCCTGCCATCCTCTAGAGTTCTTGGTGGTGTCTCTAAGACAAGTTCATCTTGCCTTCGGTGCTGACCAAGTGATGTCTCTTCAATTATCTCAGTTGAATCTCCAAACTACAAAAAAAAAAAAAATCCCATTGATCCCCAGTGTAAATAGTACAGCAGAGCTGATTTACAGAAAGAATTTTATCATGAAGCTGCATAAAGCAATTTTTTTGGTGCTTGAAAGCTCAAGTTTGATCTTAGAAAGCTCAAGTTTGAACCTCTAATTCTTTAAAATTTCTCTTTTAAGCGCAAAAAACAGAGATACCCTAAACGTTTATGTCTTCAAAAGAAGCTTTTTCAATCAGCATAGATGAAAAACAAAGCTAAAGAAAAGGATAGAAGAAACAGGAGAAGAAATTCATGATCTTGAAGCAAGAGAGAATTCCCATCAACCATTTCCAGCGATAAAAAGCTAAAGTTTCGAAATTGACAAAAAAAAAAAAAAGCTATGATTTTTACAAGCAGACAAACCAGAAAACAGAAAGAAAAAAAGCAAAACTAAAAAAAAAAAAAACACTTTAAAAGAGTACCCCTTGAAGTGGAGGATCAAGAGTGTTACTGCTTGTTCCTTCACCATTCTGTTTTTTGACAACGTGGTCTCCTTCATTTTCCATATTTCATAAGAAGAATTCTTGAAAAGAACCAAACTTTTTCAGAAGAGACAGCTGATTGATGTTTATTGTTTAAATTAACTATGGGATTCTGACCAAAAACACTGTTTTTGGAACTCTGTCTGAAGATCTTACAAGCTGACAAAAACCAGGGTAGGAAAACCGCCAGAGATCATATGAGTAGGTGAGGTGGCCACCCAGAGGGAAAGAGAGAGAAGGAAAAAATGAAAAACAAAAACTGCCATTGTGGTTCATTGACTGGTGATGAAAGGACAAAGTACCAAAGTTAGGTAACAAGGGTTTGGCTGTGGTGGCTTTGTTTGTCACAGGATTTTGGTCCAACATGGAAAATAATTTTACTACAAAGCAGCCATTGGTGGTATGATACGGTAAGAATTCTTTCAGGCTTCAAAAAGAAGTGATGATTTATTAGTGGCGTACCAAAAGGCACATATGTTCGTTAAAACTACTGTAATTAATAAAAAAAAGGGGGTTTTTTCTACAAGTAAACATTAAGTCACTTTTAGAATATGCTTTTTAGACCTATTGTTCTTCGGTCAATACTCTACAGAAATAGTAAAGATTTTATGATGATAAGTTCACATGTAAAACAACACAAAAACAATCCTTGATGATAGCTGCTCATCCTTATCTTACCAATTAATGATCCTCTAAACCATGATTGTTATTGCAAATTTGCAAGATTTGAAGAAGGTAAATTCTAGGGGCCAAAAATGATTGAACCCTTCTTTGATAAGTCTTTAAATTTGAATTTAATTTTGAGATTAAGTAAAAAATTTATATTCAATCCATAAAATATTATTTATTTTAATATAAAAATAATTTTAAATTTCTATATAAATATCATGTCTTTAAATACTTTTAGCTCCTTTTACTTGGTTTTTGAGGTTCCCATTGTTTCTCTTATAAAATGCTTTTATTATTAAAAAAAATATTTATATTTAATACACTATCAATTTATAAATTTTATATATCATCGATAAATTTAATAATATCATCTTATTAATAAAATAAATCAAATGATGTTACCGAATAAATTTTTTAAAAAATATTTATTTTTATATATTTATTTTAATGATTAATATTTACTCATTAATAAAATAAAATTATTTAATTTACTAATAGCATATAAAATTTATACACTAATAATTTATCAAATATAAACTCTTAAAAAAAAAAAAGCTTCAATTTTTTTCACTCATTACTGAATTAAAACCCATTAAAATTGTTGCGATTAACAAAAACATAAAAAGGAAAATGACATGTCTATACAAAATATATGCACAGCTGACATTTTCCATTGTTTTCATTTCAAATGTTCCTTCTCCCTTCTTCATATACAGTTTCTGCTTATTGGACAGCGGCACTGGGATGTGCTTGGGTTGTGATGAACAGTGTAAACCATAATCCTGTTGACCCCTTCGTAGCAAGAATATCAAATCATCTCAAAAATTCGACTTTTTGTCTCATAAATTATTGGACAAACATTGTTCCAACTCACGTTCCCATGGCTGCCTCTGACGGCCAGAAATCTTCAACATATACAATAAAAAATTTTTGTTAAATTTTGAATCAGCATTACGTTGCATGAATTTTATGAAATAGATAACCAACGATAATAATATTTGTTTTGATATCATATTAAATTTTATAAATTTTACTATAAATAAATTAAATTTTAATCAAGTTAAACTTAAAATTTGTCTGTTTAAAAAAAATTGGTTTATATAACTCAATTATTAAACTTTATTTATTTTTCTGTTGAATCCAACATTAGAAATTTATTTATCAACCGGAGACCTACATTCAACTTAAAAAAATAATTTTTATGATTAAATTTATTAATTTTTTTAACAAAATGAATAATATCTCAGGAAAATCTTTATGAAAGCAACGTGCTTGTTAATTATTCATATCTAGGTCAATTTTAATTTTTGAAATCGCTTTTGAATTAGTTTTGCCATAACCTTAATAAGAGACATTGTAATTTCGTGCTCAATCCTTTTCAGTTAAGAACATGTATGTTTCAATTAAACATCAGTATTATTATTCATGTAAAAGCTGCACTTATAATGGAGTTTATATCAAGATAAGAAGGAAGTGCCAAAATAACATATCATTTTCGGAAATGAAACATGATAACATTATCAAAAGCATCCAGGAAACTTTCTTTTCATTTCAGATAAAAACAAACCATAAAGATGGTTCAAAGGACCATTACCAGTTACCAACCACAAAATATTTTGAGTTTGGTCCCATACATAGGAAATGGCCGGTGACTAGCCACAATCTCATCAACCAGGGGCACTGTGGATTTGATTGAGCCGTAGCCAGCAAGGTAGCAACATCACAATCATGCAAGGGATGCTTTTCAATTTGACTTTGAACTGTATATGTAGCCCTAATGATCTGTTTTACAAATTGCGACGTTTTGAAACATTGTTTGAAACTTTTTACCATGGCTTTTGTTGGTAGCCAATGGCAGCTAGTATACGGATTTGAGGTTTTTGAAATGAAGCCCAAGGCCGCCGGCAATTTCAAAATGAAAACAAAGCTGTAAACAAGTGTGCATTTGAAATTCATTCGACTTGATTATATTCCTATTCATATAAATTATATATTTTTATTTTATATTAATATATCGTATTTAAAATTATTAAAATTATTTTTTTATTATCTCAGCATAAAGGTTTTATTGGACTAAATCACTAAAATTAATTTGGGCCAATAAGAACCCAAATAGGAGGAGAGTTCTTAATTTGATGTTACAGGGCCAAGCCATGGATGACATGATGGATCATTAAGGTCAGTCTGAAAATGGGTTTTTGTCTCTGGACAGACAAAGTGGACCCAATAAACTGTACGTTGCCATGGAAAAAGTCGAAAATCATGTGGAGGGGCCCCATAGCCCACGGGCTTTGTCAGATCAAAATGCCCTTTTTTTATCTTGAGAACTATGCCCAATCTTTTCGGATTACAAGCTTCCGTTTCTGCCACGTCACCACATATCTTCACCATAGCCCCACTGTCTTTATTTTGCTTAGCTGTTCGTTGTGTAGTTGTGCGTTATAGATGCAGATCTATCGCGTTTTACTTTCCATTGCTTCAACTATAAAGCCTTAGCTGCTTCACTTCACTTCACTCAAGCAAAGACAGCACCTCATAAAAAAACACCAACAAAAAATTTATTTTTTTTGGGTTTTTTTCCTTTTTAATAAAAAGTTGAAATCCCAGATTGAGAGTGAAGCTAATTCATCAAAGGATGTAATGTAGTGTAGTTACAGATCGAGTCTTGGGGATGTTTCCAGAGGGGAAAATGGAGGAAATTTTGGTTGAAATGAAGCCAAGAAAAAGGGTTCCAATGAAGGTCTGGTTAACTGTTCAAAGATCAATAGGTCTCCTTGTGGGTGGGAATCACACATCCTCCGGGTTTTGTTCTCGCTAAATTTGTTTTCTTCCTTTGTGTTGGGTTCAATTTCTCTTGATTTCTCATTTTAGATTAAGAAGAACGATCTTTTGTTTTATCAAAGATTGGATCTGTCTTGCTATTTTTATCGAGTTCGAAGGTGTTAAGGCTATGGATTTTAAGACCTTGAAGTTGATGATCTTTCATGGGTCTTTGGCGAGGCGTGTGCTTTTACGCGCTTTCATTCTTGGTGCTGCTTTATCAGTTGCTCCTTTGCTGCAAATGATATCTGGGGCCGATCTAAAAATGTTGTATACCGTTTCTACCTCAGCAGACTGTGCCCTTGAACCTGGTTCTTCAGGGCTATTTATGTTTCCAGGCACCTTCTTGTTCTCCAAAGATTGGGGTTCGTTTGGATCGGTTCAATGTGAGGAAGATGGGAACTTGACAACCAGAGTCGTTAAGAGAGCTAAGGGGAAGCAAATGTTGGGTTACAGTGCAAAAGCTCTCTGTGTTGGTGGAGGCTCAGTGTCAGCGGTTGTGGCATTGAGAGACTTGGGATTCTCTGATGTTACAGGGATTCACAGGCACCCCTTTTTCTCTCTTAAGCATAAGAAGTTTGTATATGAGCTTGATTATAAGGACAGTTCTTATGATTTTGTGTTATCCAGGGATCTAGATAAGATCTCTGTCCCTGCTCTTCTTGTGCTTGAGATTGAGCGCGTTCTTAGGCCTGGTGGAATCGGGGCTATGCTTGTTGGTATTAGTGGGTCAGACCCTACTAGCTTGATTAGGTCGGCTACCCCAGTTTCTTCCCTACTGAAAGCTTCCCGTGTTGTGCATGTTGATTATGTGAACGAGTTTACATTGGTTGTCTTCAAGAAGAAACTCGAAAATACCACTTACTTTGAACAGTATCGTCTTCCTGCTGACTGCCCATCTATGACAAGCAACAAAGCTATATTGGATAACATTGAGCCTCTTGTGGAGGAGAAACCAATGGCGTTTGAAAAAAGTGTTACTTATTTGCCCAAGTTTGTTAACGCATCTTCTAAGCATCGCTTGGTCTATATTGATATTGGGGCGGGTGAGCATTTGAACTCAAATTTTACAAGTTGGTTCTTGCCATCTTACCCTATTGATCACAAAGCCTTCAATGTTTATTTTGTTGATCACAATACTTCGACGATGCTATCCTACGTAAAAAAGCCTGGTATCAACTTTGTTTATCACCCAGGCCTTGCAGGAAATAGAGCTACTGCCAGTTTAGGAAATAAGGCTTCCACAGATTCTGATATTGTTGATGATTCAGATCCATTTGTTGAAGATGAAGGTTTTGACTTTCTTCTCTGGTTTAAAGATACAGTACAAACTGCAGACTTTGCGGTTCTGAAGATGAATGCAGGGGCAGTTGAGTTAAAACTTCTCTCAGATTTGTTTGAAAGTGGAGCCATATGCTTCATTGATGAGCTTTTTCTTCAATGCTTAGACCATATGGACAGTGGAGGAGTGGTGAAGGGAGACTGCATGGACCTCTTCAAGGCCCTTAGAAGAACTGGTGTGTATGTCCATCAGTGGTGGGAAGATTAGACAGCCATTGATCTGGTGTTTATGTCTTGTATGAGTCATGAGTCATCTATGTGCTACTCCTGCTTGCAGTTGCTATTGTTGTTGTTTACTTGTTACCTTTATCATGGTCGGTCTTCCTCGTCTTCTGGTATGTTGGGAGGAAATTAAGTTGCTTTTGTGGTTGAGCACTATGCTAAATGAACAACCACTATGATCTCTAGTTTGCTGAATAAAGTTCACAAATCATTGTGTGCTTGCCCCGCTTAATTACTCTCTCTTTTTGTTGATATGTATTTTGTTTTTGGCATTCTTCTAGGCATTAGTTGGATATCATTATGAGCTCTCTATCATCCAGTTTTACAGGCATGTTTCAATCTCGTTAAAGGACACATGCACCGACACAATATATGCAGAAGTGGATTCGTGAAAACCAGCATTGGGTGTTCCATTGGTTCTTGCAGTTACGTGATGTGATTCGCTTGTCCTTTTATATTTCAATCAGTTCCCATGGCTAGTAATGCCAGATTCTTTTTATTGCAGTGACATGATGTGATACGACGATCAATAATTTGAAGCTTAACCGCAAGATAGTCCTGGAATTACAGTGACGTGCTGCCAATGCCATCAATAATTTGTAAACTTCGAAACTTTACCTCAGAAGCAGTAAAGGAATAATTAATAATTCAATATGAAATTTATCCTTTATAAGATTTTAATATGATATTTAAATTATAAATTTATTAATTAATATAATTTTTTTATATTAATTAGCATAATATTCACTCTTATCGTTACATTAAAAATTTTTAAATTTTAAATATTAAATTAAATATTTTATTATAATTCGACCGATTCTTAACGTAAATCCACGAAGAAAAGCCACTCGGTGTTGCCCTTTTCCTCTTAAACACCGAAGCCCTTTGGACACACACATGCTTGCTGCCATGCTCGGGCATGGCGGGCTCAAAACTTTGAACCAGTTTGTGAGAGAATGTGCAAGTCAACCAGGTGCAACCCAATAAAACAAACAGGCCAAGGACACCCCTATTTATTTATTTATTTTTTAAACGCGTGAAGTCCTTGTTTTCCATCTGTTTTTAACTGATCATTCCAAAAAAATTAGGCAAGTTACATGCCTGATAGGCTGTTTCTTGCAGACTCATCGGGTGCAACACGAAAAATTTTCAACCTGACGACTGCAGTCATAGAAAATTAGCAGCTCCTGCAAATAAATTTAGCTTCTGCTATGTGCATCTAGACCAGAGTCATGAAATTCAACGCTGGATGACAATTGGCAGGTTCCAATTTCCAAAATAATGAGACCGCTGATTATACAGCCGAGCATGTATCGTATAATGAACGAAGTAAATTGCTTTAGCAGCCAAACGAGTTAATAAAGTAAAACATTAATAAATTTTGATGTTCCAGCAAACGAGAGGGCATCTATTTGGCAAATAATAATATATATTTTGTGTGAAATTCCAGCAATTCATTCATACCATGTAACATAATGGATTATAACTTCCTGTTTGATTATTCCAAAGGCATGACATGTAAAACAAAAGAGAGGATGACAAAAACGGCAGATGAAAACTGATAAGAGAAAAGAGGGGAAAACAGAGAAAGATAACGACAAGCTACCATGCAGGAAGATAGTTAAAGAAACATGTTCTCATCTCATTCATCATTATCAGTGCCATTGTTGACCTTTATCTCCAAAAGCCTTTCAACTGGTTGTCTACAAATTGGGCACCGATTAGTCTGGCATCTCAAAACCTTTGCACAGGAGCTGCACATGCACTGCATAATGAACAAAAAGAACGGAATCAGACAACCAACCATAAGCATGTACTAGTTTTTTCTTTACTCCATTTCTGTCTTCATTATGGAGGAAGATGAAGAGAAATGGTTCTGAAGCTGAAAATTGGTCGAATCGACCAATTATGTGAGACCCACCACCACGGTATTATTTTTATAAAAGGCAAGTAATTCTGACTGTTGTTCAAGAAAACAAGTTACTAATAATTACCGCAAGATTTATTCATTCGTTCCCCTTTGCTTTCTTGTCTATACGGTCGATTTGCAAGAGACCAAAAAAAGGAAAAAAAAAATGAAGAAAAAAGAAGTGGCTGTGTTTACCATGTGTCTGCAGGGAAGAACAGTTGTGTCCCGAGGCTCTGAAAGGCAAATAACGCATTCTTTTCCAGGATCATTTGCATCAACATCATTATCAACTGAATTTCCAATTCCATATATTTCTTGCAGCTCATACCTCATCCCATTTACCCACAGAATCTGTTTCACTACTCTCACCTGGTATTCACCCTTCTTCTCAAACACTGCCTGAGTTATCTGAGAATTCATGCCTCCTGACACTTGGTTTCCATCAGCCTCATTCTGGTTGACAGGCAATGCCTCTGCTTTCACTGCCAGATGATAGATGTCCACCTCATCTACTTTCAGTAATTCTGACTCCTCAAACATAGAGAAATCAATCCCTGTTCCAGAGGGCTGTCTGAACTTCTGTCCTAGACCTTGTTCAAAAGGCACAGTTACTGGGGGTAGAATATTTTCCTTCATTGCTGTCAGATTGCACTCTTCACCTTCTTTCGCGAAGAAAATAACAGTCATCCTGTTTGCAGAGCAAAGCAGACACTACATCTTGTTAAGAACTAATATCAGACACAATAGCATTCACATAAAAACTGGCTTCTCAACAATGGAGAGAAGCAACATTTGAACTTCCAGATAACCTCAATGCATAAAATTGATTCTGAGAAAAAAAGTTAAAAAAAGTTTGTGTTTGAGGACTACAAGTATGTGCCCCATTATATAAGTCTTGCTTTCTCATGATGCTAGAGAAAGAAAAGTACCACAACTGATATATTGTTAGCCCAATGAATAAAAGGACAACAATAGCCATAATATTGATAAGAAAATGAATGAAAGTGCATAAGAAAAGAATGTTATCAATCGGATTATTACACTTTTACAAGATATTCAGCGAGCTAAATGCTTGCTACGTAAGTTGTGTTGAACTTCAAGAAATCATTCATGTTTCTTTTCCGTAAACCTTGTCAAAACTTCTTAAAACCAAGGAATAGAGCTCTCTTTTCCATCATTTACTCTAGTAGAGAAGTTTCTATGTCTGATAACTAGGATGCAGAAATTTAAAAGGATAACAAACAAATTTCACCATCATTCTTGTCTTCGTCACAACAAACCTGTTGACATTTTGTCTATCAAGTAAAAGAAAGAGAATCACGGGGCTCAAACTCTGACATGCCCCGAGGGGACCTCAAAACACCTCCAATGAGGTGAAATACCATTTCGTGAGTTTTCTTCCTTTTTCCTGTCATCTTGTCATCTAGTTTGAAGTAGATACAAAATTTCATATAACATACAAAAAACCCAGTTCTTCAATCATAGTCAGACCCCAAATAAACAAAGCCACATTAGTTACAACCTCAAATGATAGCTGAGAAACTACATAATCCATGGTCAACAAAAAAGAAATCCAAATAATCTTTCATTGAGTTCCTAATAATCTATATTCTTAAAACCACTTGGCAAATCTGTATCCCTTTAAAATTTCATATCTCTCAAACTGTAATACACTTCTCCGTCTAATTTGAAATAATTTACATCTCAAGCTCTCAAAAAGAAATAGTCACATCAATTCTATTCAAAGAGTAAAATTTTAATCAAAAGCAACCCAGATTAAAAGCTACAACCATTGAATTCTCATAGGTAACAAATACTCAAAATTTAACCAAAAAGATAGAATTTTATACCTTCCAGCAACAGTAGCATCAAACGTGAAAGTAACCAAAAACTTGCCAGGGTTCTCCTCATCAGCTTCCAGTTTCAAAGTTTCCTTCTTCAAGTTAACGTCATTCCTTATCGTAACCGCCTTTTGATGCTCTATATACGGCACCGGGGGCGGTGGCATCATTGGTCCATAAGCATACCTACTCCAATTGGCAGGCTCTATGTGGGGCCCACCTCGATGATGATGATGATCGTACGGTGGGGGAAGCGGCAATGGAACCGGAGGCTGAGGCGGGTAGTAGCCTGGATACTGGTAATATTGGGGCGGGTTCGTGTTCGGGTATTGGGTCGGGTAAGGCGTAGCGGCGGCAAAGACGTAATGGTTGGCAGGGATTTCAGGTTGCGGCTGTGCTGAAGGTGGCGGTTGAGGTGGCGGGGGGTGGCTTCGCAGGCTTCCATGCCTTCGCCGGCCATTGACTCCGCTGCTTCCGATGTTTCCCATGAATTTTTGCCGTCGTTGGAATATAAAGGGAAACAAATTAAAAGTTTTCGATAAATATATATATATATATGAAGGACAGATTTTTATAACAAAGTTGGATCCAATCTCATGTAAACATTTCTGGGTTTTCCTTTTTTCCCTCAAAGAACCAAAAAAAAAAAAAAGTTGTTTGGGAGAGGATCAAAAGGATTGTAATTTCTTCTACTTTTCCTTTCGTTTCTCCGTCAGAGAAGGGAAAGGAAAGCGAAGGGAGATAGAAGGGAGGTGAAAGAGATGGAGAAAGAGAAGAAAAAGAAAGAATCTTTGGATGGGTATAATGGGTTTGAGTAAGCCCCAAAACACCATTGATGGAGAGATAGAGGCTGTGCAAAAGTGAATATCTTTCTTTCTTTTTTTAGTTTTTCTTTGTTTTTGTTTTATTATTACAGTTGTTATCGAAAGTTAGTAATTTGATGACAAAAATACCCCAACTTGGTCGGTTTCAGATTGTGTTCCCATGCAGAAGCACCTACCCGATTAATGGTCTGAATTTTTGGTTAATTACAAAAAAATTGATTTTAGCAACAAAGCTAACAAAAATTAGTTAAGTTAGTATCAAGATTAGTTGTTTTTTTAATCAATCATGCTTCCATAATTATAAACAATCTAAAAATAAAATTTTAAATGTATTCCATACAAAAAAATTATCTTTAAAATTGTTCTATCAAAGTTTTCATTTTTTAATTTATTGCATTGGTTCAATTCGGTTAAAATAAATTTTTTTAGAAAATGAACTCGAAATTTTTTATTAATTTATAAAATTATTTTTAAAATATATTTTTTAATAAATTTTAATTTAATTTTGATATTTATAATATTTTTTATTTCATATGCAGATTTTTATATATATAAAAGGAATATTTTAAAAGAACCAAAATGGACAAATCGGAGAACAAAGACAAAAAGTGTAAATATCTTATAAAAGGAAGGTTTAAGGTTGAGTTTTCAGGTAAATTATAAGGGACAAATGAAGGACATTGAAGAACAAATGGATCAAACCTCCCACCTGGTGAAGCTTCTGGTTGTATGTCGGTATCAGTCAATTTTACAGGCAAATTAGCAGAAAAGCATTGAAAATTTGATGTGTAATTTTATTTCATTATCAATCATATTGTTTTTAGATCAATTTCCATGTCCAAACCAGTCAAATAAAGTTGAAAAAAAAAATTGAAGTATTTTTATATGCAGGCCATGTGTTTTCCACTACCCTTTTGGCCTAACTCATAACATAGCCTGCTCCACAACTTGGATGACGATGATGATGATGATGATGATGAATGAAACTAATTTTCAGTTTTCTGTGTTTAATGGCTAACCATATGTCCTTTGATAACGACTCTAATGGGAAATGCCAAACAAAAGAGGGAACTTAAAATAATTAATCCATTTCTTATACAAAATTTGCTGTATCTTTTACTTGGTCATAGTTGAAATGATCACCACCATTACAGGGTTGAGAGGCTGCTGAGTTCTTCGGCCCCCTGAATGTGGCCAATCAAAGTTTTTTTTTTTTTTTTTCTTTTAAAAGTTCATTTGCTAATTTAACCATCAAGATCCTGTTGGTAAGCAACTTGAAATACTCTATACTATTATCAAAACCTATTAATTTAATTAAGAGAATAATTATTAAAGAAAAAATGATTGAGGTATTTTATAAAAGAAAATTAAATATTTTTTGTTAATGTGAAATAGAAAAGAACATAAGAGTTTTTTTTTTTTGTCTTTCTTAGGTTAGAGATTGTGAAAAATTAAGTAGTAGATCCAAAATCAAATTAATTTTTTAAAAGTGAGTATAGATCTTTTTTATTTAAAAAAATATTATGTAAATTGTTATTATTTAGAGTTGAAGTTTATGAGAGAAAAAAAAATTATTATGATATCTCTCATTAATATTGATGATCTATTTTGGGTAAATTATTGAGTTTTGTTTTTTTTCGTATTATTAAGATTTAATAATGATCAATGAGTGGATTTCAAAAGTGGAGATTTTAATTTTTAAAAATTAAAAGAGTAAATTAAAATGAAAATTTATATTAATGAATAAATTATTACTATAAGTATTATATATCGTTAGAAAATTTGTTGACTCTACTTTCAAACAAATAAATGAAAGTTGATTTTAAATTTTTTATGAAGAATTGTTTAATTTTTACTTAAGAATATATAAGTTATCTAATAGTAGCAACATGAAGGAATTACAAAAATTCTCTTAATTTTTATAAAATAAATTATAAATTGAGCCATATATGAATAAAAAGATTATTAAGTTTACTTTCCAATTAAATAAGAGGAATTGAATTTCGAGTCTCCTATTAAGAAATATTTAATTTTTATCAGAATGTATACATGTTGTCTAGCAACAACATATGATATAGATTGTAAAAATTATTATAATTAATCTACAATGAATTATAAGGTGGACAATATATAGTTAGAAAGCTTATCGAGTCTAGTTTCTAACACACTAAAAATATCTTAATTTTCAGTTGTATACCTTAAGATAAGATCATTTTAATAAAAAGAGCTCAAGCTGCCAATATTAGTTAGTTAAGTTAAACATTGTATAACTTAAATTGTTTTTAATATAAATTACCTAAAAAAAGGTTAATTGATTTCTAATACATTAAAATGATCTTGAATAGATCGTTAATTATTTCGAGAAAAAACTAACTAGTGAAATTTAAAAGAGATAAGTAGAATCTCACGCACTTTATTTATTTTCGAATTTATGTATATATAAGTATGTTTCTGAATAAATTAAAATTTTATTTTTTTATTTTTGGTATATAAAAATGAAATCAAACATATAATTATTTTGTATTTTTTTATTATATTATACACTGAAATAATCACCACCATTGTGGGGTTGAGAGGCTATTGAGTTCTTTGACCCTCTAAATGTGGCCAATCAAAGGTTTTTTTTTTTTTTCTTTATGTTAAAAGTTCATTTGCAAATTTAGCCATCAAGATCTTGTTGGTAGGCAACTTGTAGTTTAAAGATTTTACAAAATTCTAGGACTATAACTATTTTATTTCAATTGAATTTTTTTCATTAATTTTAAAAGTTTATTATCTATGATGTTTTTGGATCTCTTAGTTGGAAGGAAAGGAACAGGATGGAAAAATAAAACTATAATAGGCAATCAAAAAATATGGTTAAGGGATGTCAGAATTATTTTTTTAAGACGCGTTCCAACGTTCAAGTCAGTATATTACTTAAAGTAAGGTAGTGAGGTGTGTTTGGGAACCTTTAGTGTAGAGAAGTTCAAAGAGTTAGGTTTATCTTCTTGTGTTACCTTGTGTATCTTGTTTTTCATCTATCTCTTGCTTGAAATCAAGGGTGTTCGCATGATTGAAACGATTGATGTGAATGAAAAAGATTCACATAAATTGATAAAAATTATATTTAATGATTTCAAATACATATAAGTTACATTTAATGGTTTTAGGCATCTTGAATGCTGATGGATCATTTCTAATATGATTGTCTTGACAAATTACTGGTGGGGTCTCGGGCAAATCCCTCTTTTGGTGGATGGCAAGCCATCTATTTAGAAAAAATGACTCGATTGTTTTGGCATGCTTTGCTTGGATTGCCTAAAAACTTAACCGTACTAATCAAGCTCTGATTGCTAATCAGTTGACCTATACCTAATATTTATAATTATAATTATAGAAAAAAATTATAAATTATAAATTTATTTACAAACAATAAAAAAGGTGAGAAATTAATTTATTTTTTGCTAAAATTTGAAGATATATTTGGATATTAAGCCCTCACTATATATAAATACATTTTTGCATTTCATTTTAAAAAATAAAAGTCTCTTTTTTAGTTTGATTATATATATACATATTATAATAATATAAGTTTCATATTAGAAAATTAACTGAATAAGTTTGAACACAATTCTTTATTACACAAGCTTGAAAAGAAAAAAAAGACTTGGAATTGTAGTAGTTTGTAAATGACTTTGAACTCAGAATGTTTTTAACAAACTTTTTAATAACTGAGCCCAGTTATATTCAACAATTTCCTGAGCAAGTACAAAAGAATTCAAAATTTGGGAATATTAGTGGCCATTAGTTAAAAACAGATAATTTTTTTTAAAATGAATCTAGAGAAAAGATATATTATACAGAGCTTGAAAATCCCTTACTACTCAGCCAAACATAATAATATACTTTCTCTTTAAAAAATTTTGGTACATTGTAGATAAAAAAACAAGTATGGATGGTCCATAATAATACTTAAAGATTTTAAAATCGAACTTAAGTATGCTGGCTCAATAATTTCTTTTATTTTTTGGTACGTAATGAGTTCTCTCGTGCACGACACCCTTGTCGTCGGGTTTACGCCTTTTTATAGTACTTGAAACTATACATTACTATTAATTTTTCCATGCTAAACGATAAATATGCTCGGGTCCAGTGAGACTATGATGATAATGGTACCTTGATTAACACGTAGACGACATTTTATTCTGGTCGTTTAGTTGGGTTTGGCTCTTTCCTGGAAATATCCTTTCTGATAGCAGTAGTCATTGGTTAATCACCTTACTAGATATTAGGCTTCTAAACCCAAGTAATAATTGGATTCTGAAACTGTATATGGGTTTGGATGTTCTTAAGTCCATATAGGTGGATTGATGCAGATAAGTCTTCTTTCCTGTTTCAATCTTGTAAAATCAAGTTAATTTTTCTCAGATTTTGTATGCTTATGAAATGAGAAGCTGACTCCAACTTATTGTTTCTTGTCTGTTTTTGTTCAACCAATTACATTGGAAAAAAAATAGAATCAGTGGTAACTGTTTAGAATGGTTTTTAAATTTTTCCTGGAGAAGAATTCCAAAGTCTTAGTTTTAAGAAGTCCAAACGCAAAGGCATGAAGCTTGTCTTCTCATTTCTCTTCCTTTTTATGTACTTGAGTACTTGTATGCTTTCCTCCCTTCATTTAGCTGTTACCTTTCTCCAAGGAATCTGAACATCTAGCTTCTGGAATTGAGCTTTCTGAGAAGAAACCACTTTCCAGGCAGACCAAAGACATGAAGTTCACATCCTGTTTCTCAAATTGCTTTTCTTCTGCATCAGAAACCGACAATTACAGTGAAAGACAGGGTAAAATGTTGGCATTCTTGTGCCTTTAATTATGTTTGTTTTGATGCAAAGGTTAAGAGGTCTTTGGTGTTCAAGATTGAATTTTCTTCTGCATTCAAAACATTAGTTGTTTTTTTCTTTCTGCATACACAGAAGCCGAATGAGAAAATTATCAGAATTTTACTGTCTTCTCTTATAGTGAGCTGAAAGTTGCCACTCATGGATTCTCTGCTTCAAACAAGATCGGGGAAGGTGCCTTTGGCTCTG